GGAAGATCCGTCGTCTTCTGTCTGGGGCTGCGTATGGAGGGCTGGGAAATGAGCATCTTCAAACACTGGACAGTACAGTTATATATGTAAACTAAGGCAAAAAAATATGTTACAATATTTCTGATATTTTTTTGGATTATGTTTTGATTTTAAACCTTTTCAGCTCAAAATATCAAACAAACTTTTCATGTTTTGTTCACAAGTGACTCGGGTATGACATATTCTAGATTTGATTGTGGATGTTATTGATATAATTACACGTATTTTAAAGCAGCATGCCTCCAGATGAGCCAAAGTATGTCAATTAAATCAAACTTGAGAAAAATGTACTAATATTTTAGAAAAAGTAAAAACATTGAAGATTCAAGTAATAATTTACATGTTTTGTGCGATTAATGACGAATTGTTCAGCTTCTTATAACAATGTACAAAAATGTATTTCTACTGCGTTACTAACGCAGTAAGCGCTATTTTTGCATATTGTTACCTCTTATTTTGGTAATTTACGTGGGTTGCAAGTGCCATTGATAATGTGTAAATTGTTTCCTTTTGGTTACTTGACAATATCATGCTTTTAAATACATTTTCAAAATTTTCAAGGAAATATCATGAATCCTGAGGCATGCTGCTTTAAACTATTAATTAAGTAAGTACTTAATTCATTGGACCATACACATTAACATTACATTGACTAGTATGTCTTCAATGTTGAATTTGAAATGTTCAATACGTAGAATATACAGACCTGTCAGTATTTTAAGTATTTGTCAAAATGTGGTGGATGTTTGCCTTCAAATTGCTTTTTCATGTTCTTTTCCTTTTTGTCACTATTGATTTTTCAGACAAGAACTGGTTTATGATGCTAAAGACGTGACAATAAATACACTTGCCGGGAAACAGTATACATGTAGAACTTACCAACTTCCGGCAAGCGAGTTTTTGGATGAAGGGCCCCAAAACCGTCCGTCACCCATGTACATGGATGTGATAATAAAAGGAGCGACACAAAATAAATTACCTGAAAGTTATGTTAGTTTCTTAAAGGCTGTTGAGACAAATGAACTCCTTGATGAAAATCTTGAGATATACAGGGACATCTTGAATATGTTAGACAGTAGTGAAACGTGATAGTTTTATTAATGAAAACAATCAAAGCATGGTTTTACATATTTCTGCTTATCTACATACATTATGATGATATCAAAGCACTGAAAATACTTTTAACCAGCGAAGCATTAACTTGAGCCGCAAAAGCGTTTATACGCCATGGAACCAGTTAAATTCAATCGGCCGTATTTAGAACGTGAATCAAAGCTGGCGTGTTCCGAGAGCAACCGAAGAGGGAAAAAATCCTGGATTCGCTGGTAATATGTCTTAGACGGATTCACATTTACTTGCAATAACCATAATAAAATATATTTAGTTTTATACTACATGTACAACTTATATCACACTATGCAACACATATCAATTAAATTACAAGCATTTATAGTCTGAAATACAGAGTTTTTTTATAGTAAATAGTTTGATAAAAATTCGTCGGTTTTGAAATGACTTAACTAAAGCCAGTTGCACTCTGGCTTTGCTTGTACTGTATAACGAAAAAACCCGACTTGTTATAGTCAATAAATGTGAGATAGCTTTTATATATTATATGTTTTATCGTTTAAGATTGAATTGTCACATAGCTGGAATAGTCTTGGAATTTTAGACATTATAATTGTATACGCTAAATAGCTTTAGAATATTACCTGTCCCATAAAACAATTTCAGGTCAATTCAGTCCCTGAGAAAAAGTCAATAAATATAAATAAATAACTGCCGTTGTATCATTGCCATTCAAAGAATTCAGAAGCGACTCATTTTTCGGTCGGATAATGTCTAATTCCACCATGACTTCCGCTAAATCAACGAAAATGAAAGAAACAAACAAATGAACTATCTACCATATATTTTCCAGTATTTTCTATGTAGGCGATCCCTATTAGGCAATGAGATAACTATAAGTGTATGAACAAAGAATTAGACAGATATTGCTAACAATGGATATTCTTTCCTAAAATGAAAATACTACGAACTATTTTATGTTTCAATATCATGTAAGTTTGTTGTCGGTATTTTAGTGGATTTGTTAGTAAAGATAGCATGTGTTTTTCCCATTCCCAATTCTCTTATACTAGTTGTATCTCTTATTTTTCCAAGCAAACCAAAGGGAATTTGTATCCTTTTCTTGAAATCAAGAGGCCAATCCCCAGGTCAGAACTAAGGATTGTTAATATTTCTGCAAAAAAAAGAACACTTCACAAATACCTACTGACGTTTAAACCAGGTTTTCAACGACAGAGAATCTTTTCTATTTATGAAAAAACCCAACTCTTTTTAGTTAAATCACCGTATCTTTAACTGGAAACCTTATTCAATGCACTGGCAGAAGATCGATGATAAGGCTAGACTATTTTCCAAATGAGAACCGAACCCAATGGAATCCGGAACTTAATTGAAACACGGTTCCTTATCCCTGGATCTTGACTGCAGTTAACGTTAACATATTGTGCAACGGGACATTCAAGTTTTGCATTTTTATATGTATATAAGGACAACAACAAGGACATAGTACAAGTTTTTATTCATGCAGCACTCAATGTTACATAATGTAATACTTTTAACAAAATTAATCAGTGTTTCAGAGTTATTATTATCCTGTAATCAATGCGCCGATAGAATGAACGGATATAATTTTGCAGCGTCTAATCAATCTCTCCAAACAGCATTCCACGAACGTTTCAAATTGAATTTTGTTCAATATGATTGCAGTATTTCAAATGAATCGTAACACATTAACTATGGTAAATCGGCTTACTTTTAATCAATCTTTTCAATTGACTGTACATGCAAATTATTTCAGTTTTACACCAAATTAGCTAGTATTCTTTAAATTATATTGGTTTGAAAGCTGTGGCAACGTCTTTTAAATAATGAAACATGCGGCAATGTGGTACATGTACAGAAGCCCCCAACATGCTAGTAGTTTCCTTCCTCGAAATTCTTTAATGTGTCAGTGCCCTGTCACGATAACCGAAGAAAAGGAATAACTGACCATAAAAGTGGACCATCTTTAGGTTAATTTGCTTTATCGTAATAAATACAGTTATAGTGATTTAGTATTTTGTATGAAAGTCAAAATGCAAATTTGTTTACTTAATGCTACCTTTTAACAGATTATTTCATATTCAGTGCTTTTTACTTCCTGGTGTACGAATTTAATGTCCTTGAGAAATGGAATTACTAAACATACATTTTTAAGGAAGAAAAATAAAGGAAAATGATATTTATTTCGGGGCATTTGGAGCTTTTAATCAATTCAGAATACAGATTCAACACACGATTAAAAATATTGTAAACATATTATTTACAACCAATGTGGAACAGAGGTGCCCCCTCGGAAGCAATGAAATAACAAAATAATATAAAAGTAGGAGATTCAGTTCGATAGAGTTTGTTCATAAGAGATAACGTAAATGTGCACCAACTCTTACGCCCCACTAGCACCGGCTTAAGCGGTATGCAATTTTAACAGTAACGTACCGGTTGTATCAATGATCCCGAAGAACCAGAAAAATATAACAACACTGAAGGGAAGTAAAGAGCAACTTGGCACTTGATACCGGCTGTTGTGAATAATAATATCTGTCATATTTTGCGGTTCGGATCGGAATATCCGTCCCGATGTGACCCGCCCATTGGGCGGTAACGAGGCTTATAATTAACTTCCTGGATATTTGCAAGTCCCTAAATAACTTCCTTGTTGTGTTCTACGAAACATACAACTAAACTTCTTTACCTTGTTGAGAGATATTTCAATTATTAAAAACAAAGAAAAGTTAAAAATGTCGGAGGGACAATTCACGGTGGTGAGGCTACTTGGGGAAGGGGGTTTCGGCAAAGTGTTTTTAATAGAAGACAAATCTGATCCGTCAACAAAAGTAAGTTGTTTAAAGGTCTCGATTAACTTTTGTTTTTAAACATTTAAAACCGAAAGTTCAATCCTATCCCTTCGGCACTTTCCGTCAAACTTCGGATAAGAATTACATGCAATTTCAATATACATTTTACTTGAAAGAGCATCCTTATTACAGTTATGATAAACATTCATGTATACAATACATTTACATGTATATAGCTTCTACCAAATCTTAATGAATTGTTTTATCGTTTCATATTATTATCAGCCTACTTATTTTCAAGTGTTCACCGTACGTCACTTTAAAGGCACACTGTGCCCCAGAAATCCATTTTTTTATTCTAAAAAAATGTCAAATGTTTAAATAATGGATTAAGAGCATGTTAGATGTTTTGCAACTGAAAATGAAAAAGCGCTTAACATGCAGTTATGTGTCGTAACGGTATCAAAATGTAAACAAAGTAGTATTTTGACTTCCATACAATTACTAATTCTACAAATATACCAGTTGCCAACAGAACTAAGATGCAAAAGACAGTTCATGTATATAACAAACAAGTATGTTTTTTAATTCAGTAACAAGATACCAAAAATTGTTGAGAAGTATAAATGATAGCATTTCTGAGGCATACTGGGTCTTTAATTTTGATGGAAGCTTATATCTTTTAAATATCAAACTAACAGTAATATTAAAAGATATAAACTATATTAACCTTTGAATTTGAACAAAAAAGCAAGCCTTAAAACTGATGGATATTGGATCAATGGATGCAGACACGCTGGCCCTGACGTTACAAGAGATCAAGCTTCTCTCCGAACTCGAGCACGAGCACGTGCTATCCTTCGTCGCGAGCTTTGTGCAAGATGACAAGATCTGTATTGTGACAGAATTTTGTCCAAATGGAGATCTATCCGGTTAGTATGTCAGTAGTATTATCCGTCTGCAGAATATTGAAACTGAAGTGGAACTGTTTAAAGTGTCATCATGTACTTTCAAGAATTAAAGCCGTGAATGCCTAAGTGTGAATCAAAGGGCAGGGAGTGGGGGGGGGGGGGGGCGGAGGTCGCTTAAGCTCTTAGGATCCCAATTCTTTTGCTAATTAACATTTCGTCCGAATACTGTTGTTTCTTTGTTTATTTACATGTGTAAACAAGTTATAAAATATTATTAAACTAAATGCATAGCGCTGGCAAATCGTTTCATTTTGCAATTAAGATTAAATGGTTATTGTTTTCTAACATAACGACACATTATCCTGGACATTTTAAACTGTTGGCGTATTTTAAACTGTTACAATTTATTAAATAAAACTGACTACATTAATAACTAAACCTCAAACAGCATGTTAAACAGGAAGCTTAAATATGGAAAGAAATGAGTGACATAAAATCGATCGCTTTAATAGCACTTAAATAACCGTATATATCTTTGACAGATTACATAAACAATCAGCATGGGAATCCATTAGAGGAACTGCGGCTTATAGAATGGTTTCGACAGATTGCCAGTGCAATAGAGGTATTAAATGTATAGAACAATATTAATATATTTTATTTAACTATTATCTATTCCTTTTACGAATATCCTTAAATTAACTTTTACCATAACTAAATTTATCATTCTCTTTACGAATAGCCCTAAAAAGGCCCGTGTAATAAATAAAACGTTGTAACAATAATTTAAGTAACTATAAATAGTTACAGTTATATTAATTTATCAATGTAATTTTTTTCTGAAAAGAAAAGAAGGCTAATTTCAATGGATATATAATGTATACATCATGAACACAATTTACCACGGTCATTTTAACTTTATATTCTATGACCTGATAAGTAGAAAATAGGTCTTGTTAATATTTTCTAAAACCTGTTTACAGAAAGTATACAATAAACATGAGTGCGCTATTCCGGAGAGCCTTGCAATCGACTTGAGCTATATACCAGGATATCAGACTCTAGAAAATTTTCCTATTTTAATATATTTATTTAAGTCAAACATTGTTGATAATTCAATACAAGACAACATTGTCCGTTCCGTGTCCGTTCTAGGTTTCATTAACTGGTTTAAGGTTTCATTGACTGGTTTAAGGTTTCATTGACTGGTTTTAACAATCTCTTACGCAGTGATCTCCCCTTTTCAGTATAGAGATAATTCTACCAAGGGAGGTAATCACTGTGAGGAGTTTTGACTGGTTCTAGGCTTTATTGACTGGTTCTAGGCTTCATTGACTGGTTCAAGGTTTCATTGACTGGTTTAAGGTTTCATTGACTGGTTTTAGGTTTAATTGACTGGTTCTTGCTTTCATTGAGTGGTTTTAGGTTTCATTGACTGGTTTTGACTGGTTCTAGGTTTCATTGACTACTGGTTTTAGGTTTCATTGACCGGTTTTAGGTTTCATTGACCGGTTCTAGGTTCCATTGACTGGTTCTAGGTTTCATTGACTTGCTCCAATCTCCTACGCAGTGATCTCCCCTTATCAGTACAGAGAGTTTGGACTTGCTCTAGGTTTCCTTGACTGGTTTAAAGTTTCCTGACTAGTTTAAAGTTTCATTGACTGGTTTTAGTTTTAATTGACTGGTTTTAGGTTTCATGGACTGGTTCTAGGTTTCATTGACCGGTTTTAAGTTTCATTAACTGGTTTAAGGTTTCATTGGCCGGTTTTGTGTCATTGACTGGTTTAAGGTTTCATTGACTGGTTCTAGGTTTCTTGACTGGTTCTAGGTTTCATTGACTGCTGTACAATGACCTATTTTTCGGCTCAAAGTTCTTCTTGTGACACATATTCTTTGCAAATTGCACACAAAAAAATTACTAGCCAGTTAAACATGTAGGGGCATGACTGGGAATATGTCCGAGGTCCGTACTCGATAGCTGCTTTTGTGCCTTAACGGGCGGCCAGACACTAAATAATCATGAGGAAAAAAAGATGATTAATCTTTTGGCAGTTGCAATAGTGTTATATCTATCCGTTTGACAATCGTAATCTTTATGACTTCGTTTAAAGAAGCATTGGATTATCTTTTTTGTTTCTTCATGAGTTCTTCAATTATATGTAACTTTTAACATTTAAAACTGCCTACTTAAAGTTAATTTTGTTGCCCAGTTATACATTTAAAACTATAGATTTAACAACGTCTAAGTTAGTTATCAATCTTTTCTATCTATAAATACCGAATATCTAACCATCTAATCATTTGTAACCATCCAAAAACATTAAGCCGTTTATATAAATAACATTTTTATCTCTTATCCAACTGTAACTATGAGCAATCTATCTTAAAGTATCTATTGAACTTGCTTGAATAAAATTGTCCCACGTTCTTATTTTTTTAATTTTTGTTGTTGTTGTTGTTGTTGTTGTTTTGGTTTTTGATGTTAACATTTCCGTTCATCTTCAGATATCAAAGTCCGAACCATAAACATTTTATGTTACATTATGATTTTTGTTATTATCTTTTATCGAAATTATGAGTTGCATGATCATCCATTTTAGTATAATTACTAAATTGAATGTGAAATGACAATATAGCACAGGTATAAATATAGAGCCTCGTCAACCTTAAACATCCGCTCAGTCTGACCAAACACTTTACTGTAGTTTCTTTCTTAAAATAGCAATATTCAGAACCAGTTTCAAATTAAAGGGAAAGACAAGGTTAAAATAAAAACTTGATTTCAGAAAAAGAATACTATAAATAATAAGTCTGCAAATTTTCTGCCGCCAAATAATAATATTAAACGAATGATAACAAAATTTAAATCGCTAAATCACCGATTTCTACAAATCGGTAAGCGCGGCCATGTTTGTGTATTGGCCGTATAAAAACAGGTGCGCGTGATGTCATTTCCCCACATCTTTTAGATTCATGATAAATCTAGTTGAATCGTAAGGAAATATTAATATATATAAAGTATTGATCTGACAATTTAATTTTCACAGGAGGTGTAGAGTAGATTTTTTATGGTTCAAAATACGTAACAATATCAAAAAAAAAAAAATAATAATAAAAAATAAAGAAACGTACGGCTAGCCAAAAGTTCTAGCCGTACGTGAGTCACGAACGACTAGCCAGGACGCACTGTACTGTCTAGCCGTACGGCATTTTTTCAAAATTATATGGAAGTCGAACGTTATAAAATTGTTGATTTTCATGCTTATCATTTGTTGTTTAATTTGTATGAATTATTAAATTCATTTTTGTTAATTTTAAGCACATGGATCGAATAAAAATGATCGGAGTGGAATAAATAAATAAAAAGAACATTGAATGGAAAAAAACGGTGAAATGCAAAAATAATTATATAATTTTGAAAACAGTAGATAAATATCGAACATAAAAGCACAGTCAATCAATAAATTAGCCTTAATTAAAACCTATCCAGGGACTGACAATAGAATTTTAGAATGCCTTTCACGGAAAATGCAAACTTTCCTTGATACAGTACCGTCGGTAATTGTCGCAATTATCAAGAGCCCAACAACAATCATTTTCAGTGTTTGTTGTTGTTGGTCTTTTTTCCATATAAAATGTGTCGAAAATTAAACTTAATGAAACAAAAAAGGATTAATATCAAAAATTTGTAAACTATTTCATTTGGTGTAAATGCAAGCAAAGGCTATTTTTTTCTCGACATCTTGCGATGACAAAGATCGATATATATAGCGATCAAGGCGATTAATCTCTAAAAACTTAACATCCAAAGACAATTAATGCTGTTTCTTGGTTAAAATCCTCGCTTAAAGTCATAAAATAACATATGCATTTTCGACTTCCATAAAATTTTGAAAAAGGCCGTACGGCTAGCCAATACAGCGTGTCCTTGCTAGTCGTACGTGACTCACGTACGGCTAAAACTTTTGGCTAGCCGTACGGGCCCGTACGCTAGCCACTTCCATTATAAAAACCCTACTAAAACGTGTTCTTAATAGTACATATAATTAATTTTTTGCAGTCTGATTCTGACTTTCAAATTTAAAGGTGTGAACATATGTTATAATTGATGTACACATTTCAAAAATATCAGCAACTGTTTTTGAAAAGTAAATTGTTAACATGTCTGTCAACGTATGATGCTGCGCATCGTAATCGTAGCCTAATATTAACTGCAGGCAAATCATTTTATTGGCTGCTCAAAAATCTAATTTGCATAATTTATTCACACAATTGCTGGTTCTTACTACTTATGTCTAATACTGCGCATTGTCCATTTTAATTGTTCCTAATTTGCACCAAATGCTCCTGTCACACTGTACTGACGATTTTTATTGCTCCTTGTATGCCTCTGTGCCGACAGACCTTTTGATCATGCACAATGTTGCCCTAATTGGTTTATCACCCTTGTCAAATATTCTAATGACGAAATAGACATCTATTTTTTTTACGCTTCATCAGTGAACTGAATGACCTTAGGGGGAATTCGGTTCCACACCTGTCAAATTGTACTGTAGTAAATTACAGCACGTCATAAAATAGCAACACATTTTTTTTTCAGTTCCCAATAATCATTTTAAATATTAAGTAGATTTATGATTTTTTGTTTTATTGGATTAAATTTACGGTAGAAGAAATGCGTATCTGTCGGGGAAAAGAATTTGGTAAGTAGATAACGTGGAAAAAAAACTTTGGGGAACTGGATAAACCCGAGAATATGCGTAATTATAGGGAAACCTGTTGCTGTTGGTACCAGTTTTGACTGGGTGCCTAAATAACTTTACGGACAGTTTTGTTTTCATACGATATAAGTCTGGCTGCCGATTTTCCTGCGCCTTTCTCATTTTTAGCGTCAATGGCGGAAAATCGCGTCCTCAGCATATTGGATTTAGTTGATATTTTACCTGAAAAAAAGATATATGACCGGCGATGTACCCTATTTGGACAGCTTGTCTAGCGAAAATTAAGTACAAAATAAAAGGATATATCGTCAATTTGAAGAAGTTTCTCATAGTTCCCAAAGTAAATTTATGGTTTATCTTTGAAAATTAAGCAGTCATTGCTTAAATCATGTTGTGGGATCATCAGCAAGCTTGAGTATCGGGCAAATGATAATTAATGTCGCGGCGTCTTCAATTAATTAATTAAAGCAATTCAGTTCCATATGATGTTTTCATAAATAATATATAATGTACGCAATTAAATTAATAAGTTCTTCATCAAGATATATTTCAGTTGTACCAGCGTGTACAACTATACCGGAAGTGGGTATAACACGTCACAATCTCGGTCTCGTCTGTCTCGCGAGAATGACAGAACGCCAAAATGGCGGCGCCCATGAACTTATTTCTCAAGTAAAAAATAGTGTCTTTAAACACGAATTTCTCTCTTATAGGGTTGATGTCAATAGGGAAACTGTCATGGTTCCTCTTTTTAAATGATGAATATTTATATTAGACAGACATCGATCCATCCATTCTTATTCCTTTAAGCAAAGCAGATCGCATCCGGTATTATTAGACACATTTTGTAGTATAAAGCAGCATACTTACAGATTCATGCTAATTGTCATAGAAAATTTAAAATGTAAAATAAAATATTGTGAAGTGAACAAAGAAAGTAAATTACACATTTCAAGCGGCACTTACAATTCATAAAGTAAATTACCAAAAAGAGTTGAAAATACAATGTATGCAAAATCAGCCCTTACTGCGTTAGTCACGCAAAATTAATACGATGATAAATACTGCATAATCAGTCATTAATCGACATAACATGTACACAATTACTGGAATCTTGAATCTTTATTTACTTCTCTTAAAATCTTAGTACAATCTTATTACTATTTTAAGTTTTATTTTCTTAAAATATTTGGCTCATCTGGTGGCATGCAGCTTTAAGTTTTTTATTAAAATATTTAGACTTTCTAACATTACTATGATTTAAATTTTTTTTCAGTATCTTCATGATAGAAATATCATACATCGAGACCTGAAGTCTCAGAATATATTTTTGGATGCAAATATGAATTGCAAACTGGGAGATTTTGGAATAGCAAGGTAAGCATTTGTAAATATAGAATGTATATCATTTGCAGACTTTGGGTAGTTATCTGATCGGTGCTCAAATGTCTAATTAAATGAAGAACGTATTTCAAGAACATATCAGTAAATTTATGAATTTTATGTATCAAATGAGAAAGAACTTGAAGTTGTTTTCTGCGCAAGTTTCTATGAATTGTGAACTTTATTCGCCAATTGCATATACTCGGTCCTTTCCGTCAAACTTCGGATTTGAACACGGAGATGTCCCGATCGATGTTTTCGCTTGTACGACATTGTGACTGAAGTTACTCTCCTGGCAACCTGTTATCTACGGAATGCCGTTAGGGCCTTCGCCTATGAATGTGTTGACCTAAAACGCGATAGTCGATAGTACGATGGTGAAAACGCGAAATCACGAAACTACGATGGTGAAAACGCGAAAGCACGATGATGAAAACGCGAAAGTACGATGATGAAAACGCTACAGTACGATACTACGATGATGAAAACGCGATAAACTATCGTGTTTTCACCATCGCACTGTCGCGTTTTCACCATCGTAGTTTCGTGATTTCGCGTTTTCATCATCGCACTGTCGAGTATCGCGTTTCAGATCAAACCATTCATAGGCGATGGCCCTAACGGCATTCCGGAAAATGCCGTTAGGGCCATCGCCTATGAATGTGTTAATCTGAAACGCGATAGTCGATAGTACGATGGTGAAAACACGAAATCACGAAACTACGATGGTGAAAACGCGATAGTACGATGATGAAAACGCGATACTACGATGATGAAAACACGACAGTACGATGATGAAAACGCGATAGTACGATGGTGAAAACGCAATAGTACGATGGTGAAAACGCGATAGTACGATGATGAAAACACGACAGTACGATGATGAAAACGCGAAATCACGAAACTACGATGGTGAAAACGCGACAGTACGATGGTGAAAGCACGATAGTTTATCGCGTTTTCATCATCGTAGTATCGTACTGTCGCGTTTTCATCATCATACTTTCGCGTTTTCATCATCGTGCTTTCCCGTTTTCATCATCGTAGTTTCGTGATTTCGCGTTTTCACCATCGTACTATCGACTATCGCGTTTCAGATCAACACATTCATAGGCAATGGCCCTAACGGCATTCCGTAGTTATCTGCTCTTAATATCTACTTGACAACTAGTGCTCGCCTTGCATAACTTTATATGTCGCTTTTATTCTGACGCTGTGCGACAGAACAGGTCTAGCAGTAATATAATACCTGTTCGCTGAAGTCTCTTAAGTTACGTGACTACATACTCAACATATTCAGAAATTTTAAACAAATATGGGAAGTTTTTCTTACAACTACTGCTTAAGATTTTCTTCATCTGTAAACCAGATAAAATTATGTATTTAATAATGATATATTTTTGGCAACATGCATGTGCATTATCCGCGTTTAAAGTGTCACCGCCGTACTTCAATAAGCATCACCAGTTATACACGGTGAATTATGCTTAAATGCGTTCCATCTGCATACAGTTGATACAAAAACTTGTGCAAGCCTTATTTTCAAATTGCAAAGACGGCTATTATTATTACTACTGCATGTTTCCTTTCCTTACAGAGTATTAGATCCTGTGATAAACATGGCCCAGACACAGATTGGAACACCACATTATATGAGCCCAGAAATATTCATGGGAATAGGTTATAATGCCAAGGTGAGTCCCTTTAATAAATGTCCCGAGTTAATTCACATAAACAAATGCTTAATTGCCGAATGCAATGCTGGAAAATTATATTTAACAGAAATACAGTAAAACCTTTGCAAAGCAGTACCCTTCTGGAGACAAATACTGTTGTTGATGCTGAGAGGTGTTCCTCTAGAGAGGTTTAATCTATTGTCAAGCCATATTTGGGAAAAATAACACGTTTTTTGTAAAGAAGTGGTTGCCCTACAGAGGGTCGCTATGAAGAGGTTGTTCTGTATTACGAAACATGCTCTCTTAGACACGCGACACATTTCTTTATCGAACATGTAATTATATTTATAGACACGTTATTTACGTCATCGTCTGTAACAATTTGAAATATAATTCATGGGTTAAGTCGTTGTATATTCTACATTTTTAAATTCTTGCATTTTGTTAATGGGTAATTAATAAAAGTAAGAAAGTTTAATCGATCAGCTTTGCAAGAATCATAAGATGTTTATTGAACAAGCACTGTGTAAGTTTCACTCAGAATATCAGATGCTGGTTAAATTGATGTTTTAGATTATAGGTCTAGAATACAGTACCAGTACTTTTTTCTCTTATTTCAGACAGATATTTGGTCTCTTTCTATACTGATATACGAGCTGGCAACATTGGAGAAGCCATTTGACGCTCTATTTATGCCAATGCTTATATTTAACATTACAAGAGGCGAGGTATATATATATACGCCCTTCACATTGTCTGTAAACCACTCCTCAGTCAATGTAGAGGTCCGCATCATGAAACAAAAAAAAATGTATTTAAATTATGAACAAATTGTGGTCAATTAAATACTTGAAGATCGTCAGTGTCTTAAATTTCTGGAAAAAATAAAATTAAAAAAAAGATCTTTATTCTGATGAGTTTCAAAACGAAAGAAGAATTTTATGATTTATTAAAAACTGAGGGCTTTGACCATCAAAATTTAACAGTTTACTAAACATAGACAAAAGTTGGTTCATTGCTTAACATAATTATAACATAAGTTGAATTTAATATGGCACGGACAAAATGTCGTCAACGGGCGTAAGCACTACGGTGTACAATATTTTTCACGAAGCCAGAATTTATTCAGTTTTATATTAATGTTAATGAATGTTAGAAACCCACAATGCCAACCCAGTACCGACCCGAGTTCACGGAGCTCTTGTCTAGGATGATGGAAAAAGACCCTAACGACAGGCCATCTGCACGCGAGATTATGCAAGACAAGCTCTTCAAGGAAAGGCAAAAGCCAAAACCAATGGTAAGAAATGATTAGGGATACACTTTGAGCCGATCTCTCCACCCAGTATTTCCGGGTCTCTAAATAAATACCGGGAGGGACCGGAACGGCAAATAGTGCATCCCAAATTATGATAATAAGATATCAACCCAAAGACACTTCGTGTGTGGCACTTCAAACGCCTCAAAAAGTGTCTATGCATCAAACATTATACATGTTTAATATACAGACATCTCTGTATCCCTGCTCCTTACTTCTTAGCTTATTTCTCTTTTCATACGACTTTGTATTATTTCTGAATAATCGTATGGAAAAGCATAAAATGCTTATGTATTCGGACTTTAAAAAATGTCATAGGAACTAAAGTGTCCCGTATTTCTAGTTCTTATTGGGGCATAAGCTAGTGAAGTTACGGTCCTTGGATGCGCGTTTATGTTATAAGGTTGGCGCCTAATTTAAACTTATAATGTACCTTTGATATTTGATAGAGACGATATACACACTGTTCCATTTGTCCTTCGTCGCTTATTTCCAAGATTTGTTTTGCTTTGAGAAGTAGTCTGTGTGTTAAACAATTAAGAGCTAAGACATTTTCGATACCGGCTTATCCACAGGGCTGGGAATCAAAACTGCGTCGTATCCTACAAAATGTAAACAAACGCCGCCATCTTGAACGAAAAATGTATGTTTTTGTTTAATACTCTTTTTGTTGGAAATGACTGAAAACCAGATATATGTATTAACACGCTACACTATTTTCCGCTTCGTTCGGTATATGTTGCTTGCACAACTATTTTGTAAAACAAAAGTTATAGTGAACTTGCAACTCGAAGCGGGGCAGATTTTTTATGAAAATGTGTGGATACGACGCAGTTCATATTGCTTTATCTATCGTTTTTTCCTTCAAATCAATTATATATTTGTTTCAGAGTTCACCATAAACTTCGAAATATAATTTTGCATCATTTACCAAAATTTCATTAAAAAGAAATGTTTATTGTTTTACGAAATGATACGACGCAGTTGAAAATAACATATGATACGACGCAGTTGTATTTTTGGCAGTCTTTTCAACAGGGATAATTTTGGCAATATATTTCTATTTTATGGAATAATCACTTGCGCTAGATAAAAAACCCCAGATCATTTGCGGTGTATAGCAATGTTCTGTTGCTTTTGATTATTTAAAATACATTGTGGCATGTCCAATATTTAATTTAACATTTAATTTGAAAGTTTACATTGCGGAAGCTACTTTTCAGTTAAACATGAACTTGTTACCTAATTGATCATAATATCTGAAATAATATCTTATATTTTCCTGTATGTTCATTATTATCCCTAATTTTTTTTCGCAAAAAAGAATGTAGAAATCTATTAACTTGAATTCATTTTGGCTAGCTACGCCCTAAGTTAACTGTGGTTCTGCATGTTCTGGATAATGACTGTTTTTCTGTGATTTGTTTTCAAACTTTCACTCTACACATTAATTTACTAGGGGCGATGACCTCAGGTGCGCCTTTGTGCATTATTTCAGGCAAAATGTTGCAGCTGCAGAGAACCATCGACATTTTGAAACTAGCTTGACACGAAAGAATAAAAAGTCCCTGGTGGTTTTCGAATTCATAGCAGTTCAGTTCAAGTGATTTGAATTCAGTAAACATAAACAGCTCGGCCTCGGTCGGACACACCTCTCTGATTTTTTTTTTTTAACAAAATTTGTTAACGTCAGCTGTACAAATAAGCAGCTTTTTATTAACTTCAGGCGTGAAGTTTTAAGATTACAAATTTTTGAATTAATTATAAAGAGAATAACATTTAAATTTCTTACTAGTTTTTCGGTATGACTAGCCGAGAAATTTTCAATGTAAACAGGGGGTAACTCTCTGTGAAGTCATTTTCTGAAAACTGAAAAGTTTTCAGGCAATTCATTATCAAATAAAAAACACACTTTAGTATGAAGATATGTTAAGATGCCACCATGTCTCTAGTCTGTTGAAAATTCGACCTAAATTTTCTGTTCAATTTTGTGAAAACTTCTTCGATACTGTTGAAAGATCATGTCTGCCTAAATCTGTATTAAATTTATCGGTGCACAGCGTAAAATGCAAAACGGACACATTCTTTACAAAATAATTTGTAGTGGTATCATATGTAACTCGATTTTGAAAATTTAAAGTTTTTACATTCCGTAGACCTTTCCTCAGCGGCGATAAAGAAATGCAATGAGACAAAACCCGCGGTAAAGTTCCGCGGCGCTGATCATAAAATGGCTAAACGGAACGCATATAACCTACTTGCAAAAATATATTGTAGCGTAACCATTTATAATATAATTTAAAAAAATTAATGTTCAGTTTCAAATAATAAAGCTCACCTGTTCTCACCGATTATTAAAAAAAAATGAATACAATAAAATCGGCACGTAAAAGACATATAAGTAATAACGGAATTGACGGAAATTATTGTTAATTACAAGTAACAAAGGTAGGCATGCAATTTGCGCATAGCTCTCTTCCGGTAGCAAGAGACCTTTTCAAAATTTGTAATTTTTTCTCTTTTAAAAAAAAAACAGTCATTCCTGACAAATACAGAGTATAGGAGAGGGTTACACTGGAATATTGAATTTTGTATCAAAAAAAGTAATCACTCCCATTTCGAACTCATGGGAACAATTTTAGAAGCATGCTAAGGCAACACTGGAACACGTTGTCATATGGGTGTGCGATCACGTGTTTCAATGTATATTGCATTTGATACAGCTTTTTGGAATTTGTAGATTCTTATGATAGGTACTAAAATGCGACCGGAAAATGAAGCCTTAATAGAATTGCATTACATTTCCATTTTTATGGAACCAATGAGTGACCTCTGCTTTTGACTTAAGTTGTAAACAAGAAATGTTGTTGGACGTTATTAGCATACCTAACGCATAATTTAAATAGTTTAACAAATATGCAGCCTGCAATGAAAATACAACTGCGTCGTATCATAATTTATTTTCAACTGCGTCGTATCATTTCGTAAAAATCATTATTTTCTTGGAAAATAAACATCTCTTTTTAATGAAAGTTTTGTAAATGATGCAAAATTATGTTTTGAAGTTTATGGTGAACTCTGAAAACGAGTATATAATTGGTTTGAAGGAAAAAACGGTAGATAAAGCAATATGAACTGCGTCGTATCCACACAATTTCATAAAAATTCTGCTCCGCTTCGAGTTGCAAGTTCGCTATAACTTTTGTTTTACAAAATAGTTGTGCAAGCAACATATACCGAACGAAGCGGAAAATAGTGTAGCGTGTTAATACATATATCTGGTTTTCAGTCATTTCCAACAAAAAGAGTTATACACAAAAACATACATTTTTCGTTCCAAGATTGCGGCGTTTGTTTACATTTTGTAGGATACGACGCAGTTTTGATTCCCAGCCCTGTTATCGGTATGTTACTGTACCTAAATGCTCACTCTAACTACCGTATTGTCCAAGCATACAACAACAGAGTCCGCCCACTAAGCTTAATAGGAAAAGCATCGTTTTTGTAATCCACGGCTGTTTCGATCCTCGGACGAGGCGAAACTCCTCCGTAACCATTGATCTCGAAAATTGAGTTAAATGGTCATTTGTTTCTGACCACTGATTTAGAAAGCATGTGATTTTAACAGCCACTTCAAGAGAAATCGGCAAACACTGGTTAGTTATCCAGTCATCCAGGTAAACCGGTAAGAAGAACTGATATGTCTGCCGAGATATGACCAAATCTAGGCTTAAATCGGCGTAAAAACAGATAAATAAATTAAAAAATCTTTACACTAACTAAAATTAGACATTATAACAGTGCTAAGAAACACTTTTTTCCAAGATGTAAGAAACGACCACTATATAATATACCTATAAATTATGTTGCATATTATAGCCAAATATCAGATCTCCGGACGACTACGGCAGCGAAGATTATTATGATATGGGTGCCTTTAATATAAGGAGCGCTCTTCAAACTATCAATGACACCGTGCCGGGTAGGAAGTTCGGAGATAAGAAGCCCGTGCCCAAAACCTAGACTACGTGCTGATAAGGAGGGTGGGGCGGGCGGCATCAGGTGACAAGATTGGTGACGATACAATAACGGACCCTGTTATGGAACTGGTGACCAGGGCTTC